CTCGACACCTCCGACGTCTATGGACCCCACACCAACGAGCTTCTCATCGGCAAGGTACTTCACTTTTCACTCTTCATATTTCTCGTCATATATATTATGGGGTTTGAAGAGAGATGATTGCTAATGTAGATGATTATGTGGTATATTTTTCGATGTTTTTGCTGTAAGGTCTTTACTTTACAACTAATTGAGTGAATTTAGATATTTATTATTTCATAATTTAGAGAAATCTGTGTAGGCTTTGACAGGAGGACTGAGAGAGAGAGTGCAAATAGCTACGAAGTTTGGGATAAGTATGAAGGATGGGAAAATGAAAATTATTGGTGACCCAAAATATGTGAGAGCTGCCTGTGAAGAAAGCTTGAAGCGGCTTAACATCGACTGCATTGATCTCTATTATGTTCATCGAATTGACACCAGTATGCCTATTGAAGTCACGGTTTGATCTTATTCTTTTGGTACTGTTATTTAGTTTATCATTTCACACGATAATGAAATATAAATGAGGCCAATCATCCTTCATATGAAAATGATAACAATGTTTCTATAATCAACCTTGCTACATTGCCAGAAAATTTTAACATCTTGGTTGATGGCATTCTGTCATTGGCCAATTTAAAAAGAGGTTTCCATCTATCATTTACTGCCACCACTGCATCTGTCATCAAAGGTGGTAAATTCATCTGGCAAGAAAGCATTATTCTTCTATAATTATGTAATTTACATGTATTCTTGACAATGTAATCATTCTCGATGATCATCTTCTGTTTTCGTTGTCTTTTGATGAGATACTGTGACTCAATTTACCAAATTGAGCCCTTCTTTATCATAAAATTGGTCTAACATTTTAACCACTGTTTGACATCTGATTTGATGAACTGTTCACCAACCAGAGCACTTAAAGATTTCTCTCTCCCAGCAAGTTTTTGTTTGTACATGTTTTTAATTTTCCCTTTTTCTATGTATATCTGGATAAGAAAGAAAATTAATCCACCATTAAAGTTGCTAACTAGCATCCGATATTCGTGTGATCATCCTAGATCGTTATCCACTGCTGTTTTCCAATTCTCATCAGAAATTCAGCATCAATTCTTATAATTTCTTCAGCTCGATTAGTATACCTTTTACTCTCTAGTTATCGTTCGAACACGAGGTAATTTTTGGTAATTGACTGTCAGATGGGACTAGTAAGTAGTATACGCGGTAATTGCTAAAGATTATATAACTTAATTTATCTCCCATTTTAAATTGTTAGCATTGTACTCATTTTTTTAATTTCACTTCTCATGGATCTCTTCTTAATGTTGTCTGGCGTACTTTTGCAAGATGGGAGAACTCAAGAAACTGGTTGAAGAGGGGAAAATAAAATATGTTGGTCTCTCAGAGGCCTCTGCTTCAACAATCCGAAGGGCTCATGCCGTTCATCCATTAACTGCTGTTCAGATGGAGTGGTCCTTGTGGTCAAGAGATTTAGAAAAAGAAATAATTCCTACCTGCAGGTAAGGAGTCTTCTGTATTTGTCAGTAATCTTATAACTTCTACAAGATAATTATGTGTTGTTTTCGTCTGTCTTATTATTAGGGAACTTGGTATTGGAATCGTCCCATACAGTCCACTGGGACGGGGTTTCTTCTCAGCAGGTCCCAAGTTGATTGAGAACTTGTCCGAGGGTGACCATCGTAAGGTTGGTCAATATTCATTCCTGTGTAATCTTCTTGGTATTCATTTGTGCTGAATACTTAATAATTTCATGTTCTTGCATTGGGTTTACATTTAAGTACTGCAAGCATCTTTTTGCTCGTTTGGCAAGGTTTATGATTGCTTATATGCCGTCAAATTCTATTTTCCATCATTTTACCCATTTTTTATCCACATTTTTCGTACGACCCACAACTGTGTGATCTAATAAACAATCACGCTAGATGTGCACTCTCTCTTATACCTTCTTTTAAACTCCCTCATATTGTATATAACATCTACACTCTTGATTTTGAACTCATCCATCACATCACTGTACAGATTTCCTCCACATAGGAGGGAATGTTTTCCAAGTGGTAATGAAGGCCGTATATATAGCATTATTCTCTAATAAAAGCTTTGGCAACCATGCTATTTATTACTCCCTAAAATAAAATTTTCAAAACCATAGAGCTTAGAAAATTTGTCATGGCAACATTAATGTTAAGGTTCGAGAAATGCTGTCCTCCTTTTTATTAATAATTACCTTTAAGATAGACAGTGTAGCCTTTTATGCTGAAAGGGCACCTTTTATTCTCTATTTATGGTCACGAACCAAGTTTCCATCCGAGAAGACTGTCCGCCTGAAAACAAAACTTAAAAATAATGTTGATTTGTTCTTTCTTTATAAATTAAAGTGGAATTGCTTAGTATATATTGACAAATTCAAATGCATAGGCGGATACATTAATGAATTCAGATAGTGAATCTGTCAATAGTTTTGAGGACCTCGGCCTTCTTTTTCCAACCAGTTTTTGATACTGCATGAATTAATATCCTTATGTTGCATTTGCGGATCACTTTGAAATTTATAAGTTCTCCAGTCTTAAGGGTGAAATCCCACATTGGTTACATATAAAAATACTAATTGATGTATGCTACTACTCTTAGTGTTTGTTCGGGAGTGCTTAAATTTTACAGTTCCCACAAATTATGTGAATAAAAAGCGTGTTTGGAAATATGATTTAAGCTCTGCCAAACATGCACTTAATTAGGTTGACATTTTAAGATGGAACCTCAAGACTCGATATAGTGTCAAAACCCATTTACCTCAAACAAGCAATTCAGTACTTCTGAAACTCAAACGAGCATTTGGATTCCACAATTGGTGTACTCAAATGAGTCTCCGTCTTGCCTGGGACATGTTAAGGGTAGAATCCCACATGGTTAAGTATAAAAATGCTAGCCAAACATATGAAGGCAAGACCCAATATCTAGTACAATACAATACATTATGTACTCTCTACGTGTCTCTCTCCCCCTCATACACACAAACAAAAGAAAAGCAAGGTTTTGGGCTCACATATATCTGCAATGAATAAGATTGAACTTTTGTTAATATATATTTGCAATGTGTAAAGTTTCGGTCTCAACACATATTTATAACGTTTACATGCTGATGAAAATTGTTCGACTTTTGTAGAAATTTCCGAGGTTCCAACCAGAAAATCTTGAAGCTAACAAACTAGTATTTGAAAGGGTCAGTGAAATGGCTGCAAGCAAAGGTTGCACCCCGTCCCAACTAGCATTGGCTTGGGTTCATCACCAAGGAGATGATGTTTGTCCCATACCCGGTACCACTAAGATCGAGAACTTGAACCTGAATATTCAAGCTTTATCTGTGAAATTGACACCCCAAGAGATGGCTGAACTTGAATCCTTTGCTTCTGCCGACATGGTTAAGGGCGATAGACATGCTTACATGGCAAACACATGGTTAAACTCAGAGACTCCCCCACTATCCTCGTGGAAGCCCGAGTAGGCGAGTAGGCACTTCCTTTGCTCTTTCACTTGAGTACTGGACTGATTCTTAGAGTCAGTTAAATAAATGACCCTGTGTGTTTGCTAATATGTGCTGATATCAGTTCATTTATTATGTTTAAGCCATTTTGGCACTCCAGATTTCACAATATATTTTCAGCCTGTATCTAAATGCTCATTGTTGGTAAAAGGCCATCTATTTGTTATTTACTCTAATTAGTCCGTACTTGCTAAATAACACACGAATCGACTTCGCCAAGCAACCACTTCAGGCTGAGCCTTGTGACGATCCGAGTTCTGAAGTTCGAATGTCACTAAAATCGTATCTTGAACATCATATTGCACTTTCAAAAGTTTCAAATTTATTTAAATAATATTATGAAATTGTAAGATTGAAATATAAATATATAGCATACAGAATAAATAAATTTTGATTTAATCAAAGTTGAAGTCATCAATTAATTTCAACCACATATTTTATAAAATTCATAATTTTTCAATTACACATTTTATCAATTTTTATTAAAATCTATTAAAAATCTGATTTTACTTCCTACCAAATTGGGGCTAAATTGACTGTTTGACTCATAACTAGACAAGTGTTTTTAATTTATAGATTGACAAATAAAAAAAAAAGTAACAAATAAAAATTAAGATAAAAACATGTGATATTCATCATTTGAAAAGAAACTTTAAATTATATTAATATAGAGTTTTGCACGATGAATTAGGAAGTCATATAGTATTTATATATCTTAATGTGTAGAATTAATTCTGGGTGTATTTTATATGTTATTAAAATATTTAGGATAAAAATCTAGGTATAAAAGAATTATTTCAACTTCTTTAGAAGTACTGTATTAGATAAGCTCAAACTAACTCAAAAAAAGTTGTACCTAATCGATAGGCAAAAGTGATTTTGGCCTCTTAGTAGAGCTTTTAGGCTTCACAAAAATCCTCCAAACAGGTATAATTAAATGTCCTGTTAAGCTTAAAATATTTAAAATCGCTCGTAAGTCGTGAATCTTTCAAAATATGTAGAGAATAAGTAAATAGTAAACTGTGACCAATGCAAAATATGTGATCAAAAATATATTTGACGTGCTTAAATTTTAGCATAAACTTTGGCAAACATGCTCTAAATTGTCAAACTTACATGAAAAATGGTCAAAGTTGATTTGGCAACGCATAAAGCTAGTTGGACTTTGCTAGACGGTCCATCCCGATGCCTCCTTGGCGCCCCTAACGTCCTCCCTCCAATAGGGGGCGCCAATTTGGCACCTTGTCTGAACAAAGTCTACGTGGCCATGACACTTTATCTTTTTCCAAGTTAGTTTAATGTCAAATCCCCAAAAAATAAATTAGAAAAATAATAAAAGTGTATATAATTAAATACTACATATGGGAATTGGAAAACCATGGCCCATTTACAATTAATAAAATAATACAGCGACTAATTTAGAACCTCATGGAACATTAGTGGCTTAATAGGAAGAATTAAATCTATAAGGACCAACTTGAAATTCATCCCATAAAATGTAAAACCAATTCACATTCAGCCACGTGCTACTTCTATTAGACTCCCGATCCCACAGTTAATCTCTCAATCGTCTTCTCTTCGGCGGCGCACAACGCCTTCTCCGGTGAGTATTCTCCTTTTATTCATTTGAACTTTTTGTTCTGCATCCCTGGCGATTCTTGTTGTATTCCTCAGAACTGGACATCGATCCTGTTTTGTTCCGTTTATTGTATTTTAGTGAAATGAAAATAATGTGTAATAGTATTGGCATATCAAACCTGTAAATTGTAAATTTTGTTCTATCGTTATGTCTTTGGAGTTCACTGTGCTTAACTTGAACTTTTTGATATAGGGCCCGTTTGGGATTTCGAGAATTGATTTTTTCATCATTACAAGAAAAATGGGGTCAACATGTGAGAGGAAAAGTCAAAAATTACGGCTTGAATGGTAAAATAACGGTCAAAAAATCAATTTTTTTTTGACAAAAAATCCCTACCAAACGAGGCCATAGTTTATGGTTCATTTACTTGGATGAATATACTTGTGCGCTTTGTCTATATAGCTTGTAAAAAAGGCACATTAGAATGTTTCTTCTTGTTGATTTAGTTATTCACTTATTGGAGGGAATGGGGATGGGGTATCTCGTTT